TAACCTGGTAGCTAACCTGCTAGCTAACAGCTGCTAACCAGCTAGCTAACAGCTGCTAACCTGGTAGCTATCCTGCTACCTAACAGCTGCTTACCAGCTAGCTAACAGCTGCTAACCTGGTAGCTATCCTGCTAGCTAACAGCTGCTAACCAGCTAGGTAACAGCTGCTAACCTGGTAGCTATCCTGCTAGCTAATAGCTGTTTCTGCGCGCAGCATGCTAACGCGCCCTTTCTACCGTAATAACTGTCTACATTCAACAGTAAAATCAGGGAGGTCTGGTCACTGTAATCCAGGGTCACTGATTCCCCCCCTGAGCTGCTAAGCTAGCTTCATCTGGACCTCCTGGTGTCCAGAAAAAGTGGGTTCAAAGTCCGTGGACATTGTCCTGGGATCTGGGTCTGCCAGCCTGCAACCATTACAGCTCCATTAACTCCTCTCTGCGGACCTCCTCCTGATGAGGAGGACTCTCTACTAGTTCTACGAGTCCACTTTGTTCTCACACGCCTCCCATTAAACGGCCTCCTGAAGTGAACCAGCAGAGGGTCACATAGTTGGCCGATTAATCAGGAGGCTTTGTCTGCAGTCTCCCATCCTGTGTGTCCTGTTTTACCGTAAAGCAAAAACCTGCTGCTGGGCCTCATTGATAACATTTTCTGCTGCTGAATATGAGGCCTTTAAACACTAATCTTTGCAGCTCCTTTCTTTTTATCGCAGCGTTGGGCTCCACTGAGTTATTTGTTGCATCAACTTGTTGTTCTGACTCAGGCTGCTGCCATGATGCCAAACCAGGAGTCCTGAGTCTTTGACGTTCTTCTAGCCCAGGAGTCACCAATTAAAACTCATCAGGGTCCAAATAAAGAAAATCATCAACCAGTAAAGGAGACATTTTTAATTAGAATCTGTTACTTTAAACAGAATTTAACACTGAAATAAAACAAGGTTTCCAATGGATCTGTGTTATATATTGACTTTTTAAATAAAAAATATAAAAAAATATATACAATTTTTAAGGTAGAGA